CTCATAGCGGCAAAACGCGGTACTACAAAAGCTCTGTCCACAAAAAAATTAGTTCGGTTTCTTTTGGGTACCCCATCGTATGAACCGCCTGCGTTAACATTCAAAAACTCTTGCACTTCTTTTCCCACACAGAGTACTTACGTGTTTCATATGACTGTCATAATTACAAGGGACAATTTCTTTATTAACCAAAGATTTTTGTAATGCAGACGTTGAGTGTTTTCTGTGGGGCAGTGGCTTCATATGGTAGTTGAACCCTGAGCTTCGAATGGCATGTATAAACGTTACTGTTCTTGTGCCCCCTTTCTGTTCACCCCTGCTCTATATTCTGCAAAAGTTTTGCGCAAGAATTCCTGATCCAGTTCATTTCTTAATGGATTGGCGAGACATCAGTTGATAAGTTTCTCATATCAACTGAGATATGGCGCCATTAATTTTAATGAACGCCATCTTGTATGTAATTTTCACTTTAGAGAAATCAGAAATGACGCAGAAAGAGCAACATCAAGTCTCAGGAGTGCTGAATGTTTTCAAACGAGAAGCTGTTACGTAATTGGGAAGGTGGCGCTGTCAGTGGGACAATGCGAGCATGTTGTGAAGCGGGCAGCCTCACTTGCAGGCGAGGGGCCAGCAGACAGCACCGGGAACACCTACAGAACACGGCAATCACTTCGGCCATTGCTACCGGCCCACGTGTGTGACCGTGGGTGTATCTAGGAATGCAGGGTAAAATATAGAGAATAGGCATTACATCACACTAAATTTTACATGGGTGTGAAACTTGGTCTCCGACATTAACCGAGGAACATGGACTGAGGGTAGGAGCCGGGATAGCGTAGTCGACATAGCAACTGGCTAAGGGCTGGATGACCGAGAGGTCGGAGTTCGAGTCTCTGTAGGGTCAAGAATTTTCTCTTCTTCACGTCATCCACACCGGGTCTGCGGTCCACCAAACCTCCTATTCAACGGGTACCTGGGGTTCTTCCCCAGGGGGTAAAGCGGCCTGAGCGTGAAGCTGACCAGTCAACTCCAGCTAATGCCTAGGTCAAGACGATGTGGATCTATACATCCACTACCACATAAGCCTTCATAGCTTGGTGCTTAGTTAGTTAAGCACAGGGACAATTTTGCTTTACCTTTTTTCTTTTACATAGACTGAAAGCGTTTGAAAACAAGGTGCTGGCTGAGGAGAATATTTGGACCGAAAAGGAATAAAGCATCAGGAGCTTTGAAGTAAATGCATAATG